AAACTCAGTGATCAAAAGAAGGGCACTTATAGACATGTATATTGGGTGAGATGTCATTGGATTTCTACGCTGAATAGTGCCAGCTCCTGCCATTCTATTTGGCTGATACCATTTAGAAACAACTGCTTAATGTTGTCAGGTCTTATTGCCCGTGTGTACTTGTTATGGAAGAAATTGGGAAATCTTCAGTGCTAAGGGAGGCAGAAAAAAAAGTAGGTTGGAAAAGTTAAAGGTGGGGATTTTGAGAACAGAGAGATGAAAAACTTGCAAAAGACTGTTTTTGTGGAAGTATGCTTTGTTTTCTAGGAGGAACCTACAGTTGTGCATTAGCGTGTTTGTATATTTGGTTTGCTTCATTTGTTTTAAAGGCAGACTTAGACTGCAGAGCTGGAATCTTAGTCCTGTAATCTGCCCAATATTTAGTAGGTTTCCTAGATCTTGTCAGGCAGCAGTGAAATTTAGATCTAGAGTTGCATTTGTCTGAAAACAAAAGAGCAAAAGAATCGTGGCACAAAATTTCACCTGCATTCATTAGAGGCGTGGTCTCTGAATATCACTGGGAATCTCAGGATTTGGTGTTCCCTTGTCTCTGTGCTGCTCTGAACAAGAATTTTGTCTTGGGCTCCCCTTTGACTATTGATTTTTATAGAAAAACAGCCAAATGAGAACATCTGAGTAACTGATGTTAACTTCTGGGTTTATTTAACTCCTGTGAAGTATTCCTCACTAGCTAGGTTTCTCCCTCCATCAGAAAACCCTTAGACCAAAAAGCCCAAAAGCATTAGCTATCGTGATTAAGGTCCAATCTGTCTCTTGACATTTTTTTTACAAAATGAAAACTTAGAATTATTTGTTCTTCAGACTGTTAAGTAACCGTTCTTGAACCTATTTCAGACCTGAAGGGCTGTTCTTAGGAATGTGTTCAATATTTACTTGAATAAAATGTTCTTAACCTTGGCTCTTTATAAAAATGTTTTTCATATCCTCATTCCAAATAAAATAAGTCACTATCATATGCCACAAAGGCTTGTTATATAAACTGATAAGGCCAGGTGATCTCTTAGAGAAAAAAAAAAGTCTGAAATATTTGTTTGATCTTTATTTTCATATTGAAAAAGCATGTCACAGAAAACAGGGGGCTTGTTAATTTCAGTTGTTTGGTATAAATTCTCAGACTTGGCTTTCAGCATAAGGTAGAGCTAGGAAAAGAACAAGTTACCTGAATTCAGAAGAAAGCACGTGTGCCCTGCCCAGGTAACGCAGGTGGAGTTGTGACCGTGTATCTAACTGATGCCTTGAGATCAGGAACCATTTAAAATGAAACATTCAACCTTCAGAAATGTATCTTTGCTGTAGGGAGACACCACTGTAAAATTTAGAAGAAATTAATTTTCCTTTCACTGTTTCTCAGCTTTCTGTCTGAATACACTAATATAAATAAATGAAGGAATGGGTCCTCTGTGCAATATACGAATATCCTCCAAGATAATAATTTTTTGCATATACATATTGAGAGACTGTGCCCTAAGGAGAAGGACACAATGGAAAGGATTTCTATGTAAAGGATTGTGAAATGTGAAGTAAAGCAATTCTACGTCTCTTCTGAGAATAACAGCTAAATGTAATCTGTTTTACTCAGTGCTGCAATTTTTCAACTGTAAGACAATGTGTGATGCCAAAGAAGTGACTTGTCATCTACCTGAATGCTAGTTTAGTAAAATTATATTTGAAGAAAATCTAGATTATACAAAATTTCACAAAGTGCCAATTCTTTTAGTGCTTAGATACTCTCATATAAGATATGACAGTATGTAATATATAATCATCATTATCCATGAGCTGTTTATATGAGGTGTAGGTTGTTTGTAAGTGCAGACAAAACCAAGTTGGCTCCAGGCAGAGATGAATGAAGCTTAAGTTAGTTTAAGCTTATTAATTTAGGCTTCATTGTTTAGGCTTCATAAGCTTATTAATTTAGTCCTTCATAGAAGTGGCTGTATTTTTTTGCCAGGGCCAGCAAATCCAAAACCAGCTTGTATGGTAATAGTAAATGCTATTAGGCCTAAGTCAGCAGCTTGAGAATTTCTGAGCCATGCTATCAGGGTTAGAAATGCTGTGGAGGGTGTAGGGACACCCCTGTGTCACTCTATGTAAACAGTGTTTGGATTTAGCATGGACTGATCAGGATGCTGTATCATCACTGCACTTCCTTTTAATATTCCAGGTATTGGGAGAATATATGAGTTTGAATTTGGGAAACTGTGCGCAGATTTTTGAGATTGCACCTGAGCTAAGACGCCCACCTCAGACCGAGAAGACGGAGAAAAAGGAGACATCCATGTGAATCAGAGAGGAGCCATTAGCTCAGCTAATTTTTAAGTCTGAACTAAAAACGGTGAATGACCACATGGGGATCCTCTGTAAAATGCTTTCCCATTAGTACTTGTGTTACTGGGGTAAAAAACAACCAAGAAACTATGCCCCCCTACACCATTTCCAATAGGATGAGTTCTCAAACATCTCAGTAATGTCTGTGAAGATCTATCTTTTGTGAAGTTTACCTGACATAATCACAGTTGGATGGATACACTGATGTTTTCTTTATAAACATATCCCAAAATATGGACACGGGACTAATTATGAACAAGTGAAATCTGGATTATTTTTTCATGTTGCTGATCAAGATAGACTAGGAGAAACTGTAGGACACAAATATATGCTATATCCCTTAGATACAATAGGTATTTACTGACATCGGCTTTAGTAATTTACATGATCCGGTAGTATAAGTAGCTTTTCGGTTCCTGACATGCCGAAGTCATGTAATCTTGATCCTAAACACCTGTTAATATAAATTGACCAGAAAATTTGCAATAGGCCACTTGATAACATCCCTCATCCTGAGGTTATGGAGCCTTCAGGATTCAGCAATAAGCATAGCTCATCAATCCTCTAGTATATGAACTCTAACTCTCACTGTAGCCTGATGCAGAGCCACCCACTTATGCTTCCTGTCAGTAACTCTTACTCTGTTTGCCCTTACTGTCCTGCTATTCAGAGCTAAGTGAGGGACTAAGGAGTAGTAAGAGAGAATTTTCTAGAAGTTCTAACATATGAATAAAATCCAAATCAAAGAAAGCTTCATTTCTGTGTAATGGGTTGGTTTGGGGTATATCACTGGCCTTAGCCAAGAACTGAGGTCACCTAATATAAAAAACTGGTTGGGATTGTATTTTCTAAGTTATTTTGTGAAAAAACCTGCTTAACGTCATTTTAAAAAATGAGAGATCAAGTACATCTACTGATTTACTGTCAGAAGTCTTGATATAGCATCACAGTGAAAATGCTTTAACTATGAAAGGAAATGCAAGCAAAACTGAATAATTGCATAACGCTGATTAGACGTGTATGCACTGCAAGGTCACCAGTACATTAACACTCAGTAATGACTGCTATATCCTGGGGTTGTCACAGATGTTTAGGACAGGTCTACTTAGTTTACCAAGGGCTTTTAAACAGATGAGTGTAAGTAGGACTTCCAGAAATATGGGCTTGTTAGTAATGATTACCAGAATGGATATATAAAGAATAATGGTACTTCTGTTTAGCTTTTCTTTGCTGTCTCTCCAGTCAATTTCTAACCAATACTGTAGGTAGCTCAGTAGTTATGTAGTTCAATAATAATATAGGAGTATGGAAATGAAAATGCTGGGATCATACCATTGGCAGCCTGATACTTGTAAAGATCAACATAGCTGTTATTATGTAGACTTCACAAATGTGTGCATAAGGACTCACAAAAGTCAATCAACCATCTGTCAAATGTAAATGCTTAGCAGAGTCCTGAGCTTCAGAAGATAGGTACATACCTCCTGTAGTGCATGGTGGGGCCCTCAGAATAGGAATCATACAGACCGTCAGGCTGAGTGGGAAAATATGAATACTTCAAAGGAAGAATAGTAACACAGGTAATCAACTATCAACAACTTCAGACCAGAAAAATTAATGAGGTTTTCTTTTTGCCTGTGATACTTACAGGCTGGATAAAGGGCTGGACACCAAACAAGTTAGTAGTTAAGCTACTGCAGAAACTAACTGCACATCTTCTGCTTTGTGGTAGCTTTCTGATTCAGGAGTAAATGCACAGTTTTTTGTCCAGTAGTAAATTGCCTTGAATTGTCTCGCAAGGAAGAACAGGTCAATTTTAAAAAATACATAAGTATTTCCATCTGGACATAACTTCCTTTTTTTCTCCAGCCCCTGTTCAGTATTCTCAGAGGATAAGCATCTTTTCTGTAAACATGTTGAGACATTTTGGTTGTTTCAGCATCAGTCCACAAAAATATCCTCACGTTCCATCTGGAAAATAATTCACATTGCTTTTTCTATTTCAAGCTGAATCAGAAGTTCATTAAAGGGAGAGAATTTGGGCTGCTGAAAAAAGAAAAGATCAATGATGGGGTAATTATTCACAAGCATAGTTCATTATCCAACCAGCTGTGTACACAGGATACCACTGACATTAAAAGCTGTGAAAAAATGCTTTTTTCCCCCCTCAACACTTGTGGCTCAAACTATTTTGGATAAATTGTAGTGAAATTTGCATTTGTTATGTCTTATATTTGTGATCTTGAAAGGAAACTGAAAATTTATTGGCACAGTAAAGTCATACCTACATATTGCATTAGAAGCGGGTCTGTTTACTTTCTTTGGCTTTCTGATAGAAAAACAAATGTTTTAATCTCTATGGGGAAAAGTACTGTTTATTTATAATTGCACCTGTTCTTGCATAATAGGAAATACAGTTTGAGCCATGCTTTCCTAGAATTGTTGCCTGACTGGTACAGTTGTTCTCTAAATCCGATACTCTTGTGTTATCTTTCAAGGGATGTTTTATTTCTTCTACTTTATTTATTTATATTTGAAATGCCTGGCATGTTCCTCTTTACATTAGTATCCTAGCTATGTTTCCTGAGCTGCCTTTATGGATGTCTTTCAAGTCTGGACAGTAGCGTCCACTGTCTTTGAATTAACATTCCTTGATGAAGTGGACTTAATACTCACATGCATGTGATTGTGGGCCAAGTTGGAGGTAAAGAAAACAGTGTTCTACAAATTATAGGAGCTGCTTGTGAAGTGTTCTTGGTTCTTTGCTCTCCTTAGAAAGTTTTGTTTATGTTCAGTTTTAAGAGTTGCAAATCAGCCTTATCATTTCTACCATTTGCAAGAATTGTATCCCTGCCAGTGGTTCTTCCTTCCCTCACCCAGAAGGTTTCAGTTTTAAAAGTTTTCAGGAAATACTAAAAAGACTTAATGATATATGTTTCACTAGTCAAATAAAAGGAATTAAAAATTCACATTTAGGTTCTTTCTAAGCCCAGAATTTTTAGCACATTCACCTTTGATTTGGGGAATTGCTCGTGTCCAGACAGACCTTTACTAAATCCTATGGGTACAAACAGAGGTTTAAATAAGCAAAATGATTTCTTCTGCCTGAGTGGTAGCAAAGGTTTCATGTTCCTTAACAAATCAAGTAAGCTTTTAGAGGCTCTAAAGGGTACTTTAAATGTATCCATGGAGAAAAATAGTTGGAAAATGAATTTATGACCCATGGACAGCTCTTAACATTTGAATTTTTTTTTTTCTTTAAACTCCAAAAGCAAACAAAGGTTCATCTTTGTAAAATTTCTTGCTGAAAGCAAATTTTAATTAGTAATTTTTCGTTATTTCAGCCTAAAAATCTGGATCAATATCAAAATAATTTAACTGAATAATTTAATAATTTAAATTAAATATTTGTAGCTTGAGGGAAGTTCAGGAGGAAGGAAGAAGAGTGGATGTTTAAGTTACCTGTGCTGCAGATCTTACCAAATGGTCTACAAGGGAAAATGACCTTTTAACATGGCTCTGCAAAGAAGAGGTATTGATTAGATAAGACTTGGTCAAAGCTTTTTGAAAGCTCCAAACAGGAGCAGAATATGTATTATGATAGGTTTTGAGGTCCTCCTTTTGCATGACTAACATCATACCTACTGTTTCTTTCAAAAACAAATAAATTCAAATTTTAATGAAGGCAACGTAGAAATATTGGTGAACAGATAGATCCATGCCCTGTTGCAGGGCCTGCTTTAGGCAGCTTTACTAAGGTCATGTAAATATGTTTAGCATATTAACTCAAGTGATTTAAGCAATTTTTCCACCTGGTCCAAATGATCTCCCTGTCATAGGGAACTATCTTCTTTTGCTTCTAAATGGTTTTGCCATTAGGAGGGAACAGATTGCTTTTCCATAATTACAATATATTCTAGCGGTTATACCTAATAATCGTAAAGCTGAAGAGGTGAGAAACTAGTCAACTCACTATGTGGAATCTTATGAATGCAGTATGACCTCAACTGGAGAAGGCTTGAATTATTTTTATGAAAAAGTTTTAATTCTTAAAAGTCAGATATGATGAGGCCATTTTTGTTACCTCTCAAAGTCAGCCAGTGTTTTTATGTACACTGCATGTCTTTCCCAGATCCTCAATGAAAGTAAGCTGGGTTTGGGTATTTAAAATTAATGTTACCTTCTTTTCAGAGCTCTCATTTTATTTAAGCACATTCTGGCATCTGGCAGACTTAAGGCAGGGAAATATGTTTAAGTTGACATTTGCTATCATTAACGTCTACAGACAAGCAAATCCGCTGCAGTTTGGGCAGTGTTTTATGAAAGAAAATTACTTCATGTGACATAGCCTGTCTTCTTGACAGTCTGGGTTGATTACAAGGCTTTTCATTCAATAGATTAAAAATATTAAATTATTCTAAAAGCTCTAGTATTAAAAGTTATATATAATTATAACTTCCCAAAGAGTTTACTTGGGAAAGTTTTTAAGTCTTAGATTTTTTAACAAAAAGTTATTTTTGAAAGTATGGTCAGATTAGGTTGAAGCTAGATTTGCACATATACCTGCTTTAAGTCCTGCTGGAAATGTGGCTAAAGTTTATAATTCTGGGGGGAAACTGGTTGTGATTGGGGTTGTAAGAAAGTCACAGTTTGTTAACACAAACCAAGGTGGCACTGCCTAATGACTGGGCCATTGGACTGCATCTGAGGAAAACTAAACTCTATGCAGGTTTGGCTTTTTTTTTTTTCTTTTTCCAATTCAAAGCTGTTTGCTTGAGGAAGATTCAGTTGTATTATTCTTGATAAGAAAATCTGTTTGCTCTCATTGTATAATAGCCTAAAATTTAGCTTTTTGCTCTCCTATAGGCTTAGGGAGAGATAGTAAATACCAAATAATTAATCTCAATTAACTGCCTAAGAAGGTACATTGACTAGGTAATTGATGTTAAACACTGCGGCACCTAATTTAGCATTTAAAGACTGCATCTACTGCTAAACTGAGAAACATACCTTAATGGACTTGAACACTGTGCCACCATTGTTCCTATGGCTCAGCTGGAGGCGGGAACCCTAGTATGTGTCTGCTGGTGCTCTCCCAAGCAGTGTCCAGTCCTGGAAGGAAAGGACATTTCAGGCAGGATTCTCAATAATCAGTTTAGAAGTTGCTACCATGTTTTGGGAAAGAAAAACTTTTGCAATGTGGATGTAGCAAGTTCGTGTTGGGACTAGGGACGAGTTTTACTTAGAATAGTAGTCAAAGATGGCAGACAAAGCATGGCCTTTGGTGACTAACTATACATGATATTTTGCTATTGCTGTTGTACTTTATTATAGCTCGTTCCACTGAGGGGATAGTGGTAGTAGTAGTAGCAGGGGCATGGGTGTGTGTGTTTTGCACAATCCAGTGAGAATTTTCCAAGTATTAAATCTAGTATAACTTTAAGAATGGCCCATTATTTTTTCAATTGCTCAGGTGAAGTCAGCTTTTCTTGCTCTGAGGGCCATACATTGACATTTTACAAAAGCCGGACTCAGAAAGATACATTAGGTACCTTGTGAAACAAACAATTCTGGTAAGAGTGTACAAGGAAGTGATGGTGATTGGTTACTCAAAGACAAATGTCATTGTTGTTAGGATGCTGTTAGAACATCCCGGATTCATCACAGATGGGCAGTGTGCAGCAGCTTCTGAGGGTGTCTCACAAGGTTTGTCTCAACAGGCTTGAATAATGTGCTTCCTTCTGTTTGCTGGTATTGGGACTTCTTAATCAAATCTAATCAGCACCTAACACTGCTGGTTATGTGGCATAAATGCATCATGTAAATTATGTTTGGATATTTAAGATCTGCATATATTTCAGAAACTACTCGTGAGTTATACTGAACTGTTAAAATTAGGCACCTCCGTGCAAATGACGAATATCTGTGGAAGCACAATGCAGTGAAATGAAAAGAAAAAAAAAAAAACAACACCACTACAATTAGACATGCTGATAATATGTTTCGGTAATGCTCATGCCAGCTCAGCTGTCCAAGGTTATTTGACTAACACAGTCTGCCTAATCTGTACCTGACTCATGACAACAATAGCATGTTTATGATCCTGAGAGATTCACACGGACTTGTTTGCTTCTTGGGAAGAGTCTAGAATACTAAATTGCTTTTATAGACAAAGACATTAATTTTCTTCCTACTAGGGATAATGTTCTTTACAGTATGCTACCTGAAAAAGTAGATAAAATATATTCAGTCTTGGCAGTGAGGTATAGCTAAACTGTATATTGCTGAAATGCTGTCTAAACTTGTGTTTTGTCTGTCCTTCACTATACCATTTGGGCTGTATGTTCAACCAGGCAGATGTTCTCTGAAAAGATGTAATGAATAAGGACTATTGTCAGAATTTTGTAGATAAAGCGAAATTTGAGAATTTTGTAATCTGCTGCTAGGAAAGCTATAATCCTTTCTAGAGAACGTCTCTCTAAAGAATATGTTTCTAGAAAAGGGGTATAAAGAATATATGTCTAGAAAAGGGGTATATCTTAAGGTTATATCTCCTTTAAATGCCTGAGAATTTTGCCAGGGTGAACCCTAGCCATTTGCCTTTGGTCTTTGGAGAACTAGCTCCTGCTGGTCTGAAAAGCGAGTCAGTGGTAGCACCTGGGGAAGGCTGGAGCTACTGTGAATTCTAGCTAAATTCAGTATGCCCAGAACATACTAATCTGTAGACTGGCCCCTTTGCTCTTCAGGTTTACTGAATGGCTGTTACTTTGTGGGTTGGAACTACCTGATCTTTAAATTCCCTTCCACCTCAAATCATTTTGTGATTCTGACAATGTACTAAGGAGACATTTTTCCTGGGATTTGGCAAGGGTAGCCAAAATTCATGAATCCCTATAATCTCAAAACTACTATCGATTTAGGGAGAGGGTCTCTCATTTTTTAATGGTTTTGGTTGTTATCCTCAGCTCCCTAAAAAGGAATCCTTTTCCTACCCTTCCTCTGGGTCAGGCGCCTTTGATCTAGAATCCAGAAGGATACACAGCAATACCATAGTCTTCACCATTGCAAATCCAGCTTCTTTTCTTTAAATGGTCTAATTCAGGGCTAAGTGTATGAGCTGTGAAGCTGATCTTTGCGTTTGTACTAGTCATATGTAAAGAATTTCTGAACACCTGATATCCCTTTTGTAGCTATGAGGGTAGTTGAGATCTCTGCCAAATATCCACACCCCAAGTTTTACCTGGGTAAAGTTTTGGTCAAGAAAAGGTTAAACATTCAGAGAAATAGAAATCCAAACACATTTTGACTCCATTCATTTTCCAGATTGGCATCTCTCATCACAACACAAGAACAAACTAAATCTTTAAAAAATATAAGTCTACTTTGGATGTAACCAGAGGGAAGAGGATTATGAGGATGATGGCTCAGCTCAGGAGAAATCTTTGTGAATTTGTCTCTTTCTAATACAAGCACAGGTTGTACTTCAGAAATGTTTGTCTGACTTTCTGACTTTCTGAAAACAGCAAGGAATTTGCTGTTACCTCAGGCAGGGAATTTCATCTTGGTTTACATAATATTTAGGAGTGCCCTAATGACTAATACCCTGAATAACTACTGCAGCAACTCCTGCATCTTTGAAATATCATGGCTTAGCTCCATATAGGATGCAGACTGTTAAAATGGTGAGAAATTGCTGAGGGTAGA